TAAGAGCTTTCATAATTTGATCTCTATAAATATCACCTCTTTTGTTCCACTCACCTCAGAATCACAGCTGCTAAAACTAACAACAGCAGAATTTTTATCCACATCAAGCAAGTCTACTGGGACATCACTCTGCAGAACACATGAGGAAGGAAAACAAAAAGCTTAAGTTCCCAAGTAGCTTCTAATGCATTTATCCTCTGTTGTCAATTATTTTAATAAGGGAGAAGCAACGATTGCTTCATCCAAGAAGTAAAAGCCTAACAGACATGCAGCTTACTGTTTACCATTTAATTCCCAGAGTAATATGTTGATCTTTCTCTTATTCCCTTACAGAGTCCTGAATGCTTGTGTGGCCGGCTGACAACACCTTAAGTACAAGATGTGTAACTGTCACTCAGAGATGCATGAAGTATATTCATGACTGAGGTGTTTCCCTATTTTAATAGGGGGATTACAATACTCCTTCAGGAAACCATGGATCATATTAGATAATTATTTTTGATCCTTTTACTTATAATAATGCTTCTGACACAGCCCACTTCTTATCTAGATGTATTTTCACTGGAATTAAATCTAACACTGTTTTGGAAATGAGATTGAAGGGTATTAGAATGATTAATTACTTGATCTGGTACTACTTTATAACTTCAAGGAAGTGTCAGGGAACACTGATAAATATGCACACTTCCTAAATATACACGCTTCCTAAAACTGTATTTTAAAACCACTTTTATTGTCTTCTCGTCGCACAGGAATACTGGACACTGCTTTATATTTCTTTAAAGAAAAAGCCATAAAATCTAAACTACACATTAAGTTCAGGCCTAGATTAAACAATTTCATTATTCCTCACTTAGCTATAGAAACTGCAGATACTAGATAGCTGCAAATTAGCTGTAGCTTAGCATTGCTCTAACAACATTCTCAATAAAAATAGGATTTTTATTAAGAGTGAAAAACCAAGATCCTGCAGTAGTTCTCTCCCATTGTTACGGCAAATTCACCTAACAAATCCTTCCTTGTCAAATTTTTCTCCCCATGTATATCACAAAAGAAGTAAATTCCGTACCACTATACTTTCTGACTACCAAATATAACATGAATTTCAACTGATGCAGTGGGAACAATAACTAATTAAGACTGCTGTACTTGGCAGGAGTATTTCTCACCAGTGGCATACAAATCAGATGCTGTTCCACACTGAAAGTGCACAGGTGGCCCATACCATTCTAAAATTAATTTTCCCCTACAGAGGGTGCTTAACAGGCAAGTCAGAATCTGCACCTCAATTAGGATTTACTGAGTTAATTGCTGTTTAAATAAGGAGGGACATGCAAAAGTAAACACAAGTTACATAGAAACCTGCTAGTACAGCAGGCGTTTTGGTCTATTTTGGTAGTGTAATGTTGCTCTGTTCAAGAAAGGTTTAAGTTGTGTTTGTGCCCTAACAAACATTTACAACAGTTACTTCAACACTGCAAGGCTATACACTTGCAATTTTCTCTTATAACAAATCAGACATTTAAAACCCCATATACTTAAGATACTATAATTCAGCTTTTTAAACTAGAATGTCTCTGAATGTTTTATTTACAGATCAAGAAAGCCAAAAGAACAAATCCACACTCACTTGTACCAGGACAGTATCTATAGCTGTCTGCACCTCCAAGATAAGGCTGTAGCTAGCATCATCCTTATTTAATGTAAACTTATCATTCACATTAAATGCAGGTACTGATGAAACAGCAGTGCTGGATTGAGAAGACTGCTGGTATTTTTCACGTTCCTGAAGTACTTTCATCTGTAAGTGTTCCAGTTCGTTCCTAGAAAAGGGAAACCACATAATGTCTTAAAAAAACCCAAAGAACCCCAGAAACAGAGCTATAAAAGCTACCCTAGAAATTCAGTATATTAAGCTTACAAAGCAATCATGTTTATGTTCTGTCCACCATTTTCCAACCAGAAGTGACAGTTGACTCCCCTTCCACATACATTAACAAAAATAAAACATCAACTATATAACATGAAAACGTGGATTCTACTGTACGAGATTCTACCGTAAGATATTTCTATAAGTCACAGGAAAAAACAACTTTTTTTCCTTCAAGAGTACAACACATTTTGAACTACATGCTAGTGACTACTTTCCTGCTGTCATCTAGAAGCTATAAGCAGCATGGAAGACAGGACTTTTATCCTGCTGATACTGAGAAAGAAGGTATTAAAATCATCATTTGAAGGCAAGATAGGAAGAAACTGTGAAATGAGGCTGCTATTAATTCCTACTTTGAAAAGGCTTAATTCTGCTTCTACATACATTAACGATACCAAAAATCCACTGAGACAGGAAGGAAAGATGACATTTCAGCTTTTAACATTTCAATTCTTCCATTTATATTTCTCTCTAGTGTAATTACCTTAAGGATGAAATCTTGCTCTGCATTTCTTGACTTAATTTTAGTTCTTCACCTGATCCACCTTCTCTATGGACAGGTTCTGTAGTCAGTCCTGTCAGCCAGCCTAAACCAATATATGAAGTTTATATTCCTTATAAGCTATAAAGAAAAGTCTACACTCAGCTTTTGTATGTATGGAACAATGTTTGTTCCAGATACTGGGTAGACAGAACCAAGACTTAATTTAATCCTTTCTTTGGAGGAATAATCTAGACACTGAGCATGATTTTTTTATGGGTTTCATTCCTAACTTACAGATTGGAAAACATTACTTTTTCATTAAGTACTTTGAGCAATAAATCCCTCTGTGGCAGTTTTGAACCAAGTGAAACCTCTGTTTCTCTGATAAAACTTTGAATAATTTGCAGTGCTATAGTTGAAAAAAAAATTTTTAAAAGCTATGCAATGTGTTTATAGCAAACTACATGTTACACAGTGTTTTGAGATTGAAAGCTGCTAGCTGAAGTGAAAAAAAATAGTCTTTTTGTTTTCTTAATTACATTTACTTATAAAGGCAAAGACTAATTGATTTTATCCTGATACCTCAGGTATGATATGCAGACCTGAATGGGTGTTTATAGCTCTAGTAACCTCATCTAATGCATGCAAACAGTAAGATAGCATTACTGTAAATGCATCATAAAGGCTGACATGTCCACAATCTTTCACATTCCTTAGCTATCCACTTCAAGTACCAAGAGAGCCTAATAACAGAGCGTGAATTTTGAAAAAAACCAAAATCTCCACAGAAGTCCTACACTGCCAAGCTTCAAGTGTAACTTTTACTGCTCTAAGCAGTATTTTTCCTTATCTGCCAAAAGCTGCTGAACTCAGTCTACTGCCCATAATACCAGAGTTCATTGTTGAAAACACACAGGTGAATATGGGGCTTCTCCTTTCTCCTACGATTCACGGTTCTTTATGATATTCCCACAGGCACTGACAGAAGCCACAAAGGACTTTAGCCACAGTATTGCTGCAGCCTGTCATACCAAAACATTCATATGAGGTGAGGTATACAAGTCTTTTAATCATCCAAAGACTACTTAAAAGAGATACTTGAACACCGTTACTTCTCAATAACTGACTGAGAATTGTATCTTGCCAGAATACGTGATTTTGAATATGAGAGGTTTTGGTAGGCTACTTTTTTAGTACTGACGATAACTGAAAACAAGGAAGTAGCAACATTTTAGCTCCCAGCAGTTAACTTAGGCAGCATGTTTGTCATGGCCTTGGTGACAGTCAGGCCACCAATAGCTCGGATCCCACAGAGGGGCTGCTGAGATGCTTCACATGGGGAAGCTTTATTTTGTACTAAAGCCAAAATCAATCCTATTTAAAGTCTTGTGAAGCTGAAAAGGAAGGAAATTATGTGAAAGACTAAATAGGGGAGAAGAAAAAAGATAAGCAGTCTATCAATATTTTTAATTTTAAAAAAAAGTAATTCCTTCAGACAACACATTCATTATTTCATTACAGTTAGGCATCTGCCTGTACTTGAGATTAACCAGCCACTGTGTTACAAAGCAGAACACATTCTAAATATCTTAAACTATATTTTAAGTATAAGAAACATTTTTCAAAGTTTAAATATTAAACGAGAAGAGAATCTTTCAGCAAAACATTTTCCTGGCTCCAAACAGGACAAAGAATTTAAGACGTGGGCTGCACTAACAACATAGCCTGCTTTATTTTTATTACATGTGCAGGATTTATTGAGTAAATGACATGAAGCTTACCTGAATATGTGGATGCTAAAATTTCATCATACCCATCTTTTCCTACACAGCCACCCTGGATTGATGCAATGCTTTCTGATAAAGCCTTCAAATAAATACATTTAAAACAGAGGGAAATATCACTGCACTTGTTTTAGAAGTTTGAGTTTTTCTGTAGGGATTTTAAGTGTTTCACTCCTCCTCTACCTGCATCACAAAATATCTAAATAGATGCAGGATATCTAGATCCACAAAAGACTAAGCTAGCTGATGACTGTCACAAGTAAATCAAGATGTTTTAACAAATGCATTCTGATCCTACTGTGCATAACAAAGACACTAAAAGGCAGTTTAAAGTAACACACTGATGG